AGACAACTTCAGCTCTTGCTAAAAGGGTTATGCGGAAAACAGTATCAGAGTTGATAGGGGCTGAGTGTGCGTTTATTCTTATTCTTCCTAATCTAGAGGGTGAGTGTGCGTTTAATCGATCCAAAACTTAGCAATAGTCCAGCAACCATTGAACAGTGATTGAGTTGGAGGTATTTTTGTAAGTCATGAGCCGTATCAGGAAAAAAAGTGAGATAGCATGATTCGAGAATGTAACGAAAGAACGACCTCTTTGTCGAAATGTTTAGCAACTATGAAGTTTTCTGTCTTCGGTGAAAAAACAGGCAAAACTTTGCTCCTAGTGAAACTAAGGCTCTGAGATCTCAATAAAACATGTACACAAAGAAGATTTTCTGCAGCGAGACACTGATTTGAAAGATCTTATAATTATCATATGTTATTGTCCCAACAAGATTCCATCTCTGTATCACAAGAATTTCTCAGAATCAGAGGCGTCACTAGAATTACTTGAAGGTGCATCATAGGGTCTATGCAGTACAACTCCAAGATAAGTCAATTTGATGAGAAAGATTTACTAACATGTACCATAAGACAGCTTGAAATTGGATTCCCTAGTTACCCTTTAAAACCCAAAGAACCAAGATAAACATAGAAATATCAACTTCTTTAAAAAATAAATGGGCTGAGAAAAGCAAAATTATTTGAGACAATATGCCCCTTTAACATGGAGAGCACTTCAATATTTTTTTGAAAAAATAATAAAAGAAAAGGAATTTATCCTGCATGCATCATTCATACAGGTTAAATCCTGCATATCCTTCATACAGGTTAAGTGTGTAAAACCGACTCCAATGATGCTCTACATAGATGAATTATTTATAGACATCCTTCCAACAAGTTCAATTACTAGACAAGTAATAAGAACTGTTTCACGATTATGCGACTGGAGCATCCCATTAACTGTTTGAAGTAAAGCAAGACTGGAAGCTGCTTTTTTTCTTTTTGATAACCGTAGTTCTCCGGGCCAGCTTGCCCATACCCCAACTAATTCCACGGGGTACCTGCTACCTCCCACCAGCACAAAGTACCAGGTGCTTGGACATATGAAAGGAAATCACCTAGTGTTTCTTGTTGGAAACTGTCCTTTCAATATCTAACAAGATTAATAGAGTTGAAGGGACCTTGAGTTGTCTAAAACCAAGTTGTGACAAATAGTACTTGAAATTCAGCAGTGAGATAGCTTTTGCAAGTCTGGACGAACAACTCTAAATTGGATCCACAAGAGCTTACACAATTGATCACTGAAAATAACCACAGTTAAAATTTTGTTTGTGCTCATCACTCAACGTTTGTAAACACAGCAAAGAAATCATCGTGACTGACTACTGATCTCATAAGCATACCATCACAATCACCATACAGAAACAACCATATATTATAGTAAAAGACCGAATTGCTTCCACAACCAAATTTCTTTCACTGAAATCCACATTTGTTACAAATTGTGTACTCTACTTTTCACTATGCACTCACATTTACAACGAGCCAGCTACACTAATCTAAATAATTTAGAACCATAACGTCTACTGAAAACTAATTGAAGTCAATTAACATACAGAACAGCACTTAGACTGGAATATCACCTCGAGAATGTTCGCGCAGATAATAGCAGCAATGGCCTTCGCATCGCGCACATTTTCACCAGCAATTATAGTCAAATTCGTGATTATCGGCTTGGAATTAATGGTAAGCTCTGCTAAGGCTCTCTTATATTCGCTGATAAGCTGTTGTTGCTGCTGATGTTGCTGCGGCTGTTGCGGCTGGTAAGGTTCACAGAGTGAATCACTGTTCTCGGGATCTTCCCAACTGTCAATTGCCCTGAATCTCGGGGCAACAGAGCCTGAATTCACAGCCCGTTGAGGGATAAAACTCCCTTCATTTGAAATGCGATTGATTCCAATAGAATCTTCGTTTAATCTGGGCTTTTTTGTACCTGATTCCAGACATGATCTACGAGAACTCTTCATCTCTATGAACAAAAACCAAACCCAAACCCTAACCCTAAAATGTAAACTATTTTACACCGATTACATCACAAATTGGCAAACAAAAAAACCGAAATTAAACAAACATATACTACTTTTCAACATCTATGATATCAGAATTACAACAAACATTGAACCGAAAATTTGAGAGTTCGGAGCTTGATCGGCGATTCAAAAACGGAGCAATCGGAGGGAATTTGGGGAATTTTGGGGGTGGGCAGAGGGGGTGGGGGTGCTCATATGGTTTCAATTGATTTTAGCTTGAGAAAAAGAGTACTAGCTCTTATATATATGCCTGAGAAGAGTCCTGGTTTCCAAATTGAGAAATTGACATTTTTTGACCATTTGGATTGGTAAATGGCAAAAATAACCCAAAACTTAAATTTGATATACTTTTTTTTTAAAAAAATATGACAAACTATATTTAAGTACAAAAATTATGAAATTGCCCTACTCGTAAATTCTCTGTGTTAAGGAAACAAAAAATATATAAAAAAAAAAAACGAAATTCTTCTTCTCCTTTTTCTCCCATGTTTTTCGTGGTCAGCAATCAACTAAAGTGTTTTGTACTTCTTCACTATTCGTACAGACTTGACAGAGTTAAGTTGATTGAGGAGATCGTTTTATTTCAATCAATGAAGAATATCTTAACCGGATAAATTCACTTATTTCACATTGGATCTAGCGTAAATTATCTCGAGCCCATTAGAACTAGGGGTGTGCAAAAATCGTACCGATGGATAAATCGAACCGAAAAAAGTGTTATTGATTTATTGTTATTGGGTTATTGGTTTTTTTAATATTGGGTTACTGGGTTAACCGATAACCCATTAAGAATATAATAATTTATTATTTTAATTTTTAGTCATACATAAATATTACACAAAATATATTAAAATAATCATTATATTAGACTATAACTATAAGGATCCTACACAATTAAAACTACACTTTACTATCTTCATTTACCCTTTTGATTTTAGTATTACTTTAGTCTTTAGGTTCACAACATCAAAACCTAAAGAACTAAGAATGACGATGGCTAGGATTTGCAACGACGATGGCAAGGGTTAGACAATGACTAGGGTTGTGAATTGTGAGTATTTGCTATACTTTTACTACACTAAGCAGAATTTTTGCACTCAATGAGTAATTTGATTTATCTCTTTTTTATTTCACGCCAAATTGTTGGACAAGTTATATATTTGATTTGAAAGCATTTTCTTATTGGTTAAAACCAAACCGTTAAAGAACAAAAGCCGATAAATCAAAAACCGATAACAAATATCTTATTGGTTTGATTATCGGTTTAACATATTTAAAAACCAAAAACTGATAATCCGAATTGAACCGACCGATACACAACCTAGAACAATTTGAAATAATCTCATTGAATCTTATATAATACACAAAGGTTTTCATAGTTAATTTAGAATTTGAAAAAGAGTCTAAAAAGATCTTGAACTATGCAATTTGGTATAATATTGTTCTCCATCCATATTGAGCTAAAAATGTTTGACGGCAACTTTTTTGAATCAACAGTATCCCTATTTCTAATAGCTCATTTCATAAAATGATATTAATTGATTCATTAACTTTCCATTGATTTATTTTGAATCAATCTAATTAAAAGATTCCTAATGGAATTCACCTAAAATCAATGTCTATTTGTCAAAGGAAGATTCAAACCCACCCAATATATAAATTAAACTCATATTTATGAAATGTAGGGGAATTTTCTTGCCAAACATAACATGATTTATTTTTTTCAAAACGTATACAAAATTTCGCTCACAATTTTCTTGCATGAAAATTGTATAAAATTGATATGAAACATGTATATAAATATATAAAATTTGTATAAAATTCATGTAATTTTTTGAAAAATAAATAAATAAAATTACAAATAAGGTTAATTAACATTTTTTGGCTTAAAGTATGATTAGAATCCAAATATGCTATTAAACATTAGATAACTCAAAACAATATAAAATATAGGGTAAAGGGTCAAATATGCCCCTAAACTATTCGAAAAGGTCTAGATATGCTCTCCGTTTAAAGTTTGGCTCACTCCTGCCCTCACCGTCCAACTTTTCGTCTAAATATGTCCTTATGTGCGTTAGTTGGCCTGCTGGACATTTCCAACTCATTTTCATTTTCTTTAAATGCCACATGGAATTGCCATGTCATTTTGACTTTACCACATGACATTTATATGAAAATGGAAAGGGATCAATTATGCCCCTAAAAAAATTGAACCCATAAACACCTAATCCGACCCATAAATCAACCCCCCTTTTAAATAAACTACCAGACCCGTTTTCAACAATTTTATTTAAATTTTTATTTTTTTGGGTAAATCCCGAAAATTAGTAATTGATTAACAAAAAATAGAAAAAATATGACCCTTTACCCTAAAATATATAAGAACAATATTTAGGACTTGATTTTGTTCATCTTTATTGTATTTAAACATTAGATAACTCAAAACCATATAAAATATATAAGAACAATATTAGGACTTGATTTTGTTCATCTTTAATGTATAAAAAGTGTATAAATAGTGAGAAAACAAAGACTAAAAATATGTACAAAATGACTAGGAAATGAAATTCTCTTTTTGACCTATTTATTCATTTCCTATCTCACCTAAGTATAGAGATAAAAGAGTCCCAATTCATTTTTTTTATCTCACCATATTGCTCCTAATATAGATGTGTAATTTAAGTACCAATATATTCACACACACATATGGCCTTTTAGAGTTCTTTAGATTCGAATAAAGGAGATACAAATATGCTATATTTTGTAAAATTGTGTTATGTTTGATAAATAAAGAAAATTCTCTATATGTTTAGTAATATAAGATCTTATTTAGTTATTATAATAATGTAAATGTATTTTCCTCTTTGGGCCCATGAAATTACCTCAATATATTTGGGCCTATGCGTTTTTAATCACTATTAGGCCCCAGACCCGCACAAAAACCTCAATTCTTAAACCCTAATATTTGCAGTAGTTGTTTCTTCTTCCTTTCTTCGCCATTTCCCCCCCTTGTATTGGTGAGTTAATGCATAGTTCTTTTCTTCATAGAATGAATATGAAGAATTCATATTGCTGATCGTGTAATTGTTTTTCGTTTTTCTTAGGTAATCATGATGAAATTCAAAACCCCACAAAAAGGAAGAATCAGAAGGGAGCTTGAAAAGCGTGCTCCGAAATTGGTGAGTTTGCTCAGCTGAATATTGGGGTTCTTGAGTTTGTTTGTTCCATTATTCAGCTAATTTTCGATTTTTATTGGCATTACTATAGTTGGATTTCAAAAAAGAAAAGAAAAAATATGGTCATAATTTTTAACTAGACTTATTGCCTACATGTTGTTCTATGTGGTTCTATGTGGGATTTGTAGGATTCGTCCTCGACTCATAGTTGGGGTAAATAGACTTTCTATTTGAGTGGTGTATTTGGACTTTATCAATAGTACTCCTGTAGTTAGTTTCGCGATAGGAGGTCACCTTTTTTGTCTGTGTGGGAGCTGGCGGGGTTTGAAAGATGTGGTTTTGACTGTGATGACAATTGTTTTTGGCAGGTTGAAACTGGGAAGAAGACTTTGATACTACACGGTACGAAAACAAGCCAAGTATTGAATGATGTGATGACCGAAATTTATCACTTGAAGAGGGATAATTCTGTTAAATATACCCGGAAGAATGATAACATTAGACCATTTGAGAGCGGGGGCGAGACTTCTCTGGAGTTTTTCTCTCTTAAGACAGATTGCAGTCTTTTTGTGGTAAGTGGGTAGAGGCCTTTTTCTTTTGAGGCATTTTTTTTCGGTTCATGGTTACAAAGGTGCTGTTTTACAACTTGTTTCCATGTTAATCAGGATTTATTTTGTTACTTCCTGACTATAATGACTTGTTTCATATTGATCTGAATTTCTTTTTGTGGCTCTCTGACTATTATGTTGTTTTTTGTTTGGTTTGTTCTGAAGCTAGACATAGCTGATCTTCTCCAACTATCTAGCTAGCAAAACAGTAGTAATCTTAGTCATCTTTTTTCATGATAAAGAGTAACTTGTGTCAAAAGATAGTACATGTTAAATCAAATACAGGAATAAGAAATTAGGTGCACTATTGAGCATTTGTTACGTCTTTCTGAAAATCTTAAAGGTGCTCACTTTGACATGGAAGTGCATTATATTCTTAATTAGGTTAAGGCTTAAGCCTCTGTCTCCTAAGAGACAAGGAGCAGAGACTAAGCCATATAATGCTTTTTGATAGGTAGCTTGCATACATACATAACAAGAATGGTGGCTAATAGTTGCTGCCAAAAAGTTCATTTTATCATTTAGCTACTGTTGTAGCACTTCTCCAGTGTCCACTTTTGATCTTTAACTGTTAAATGTTATTAGTTGCTAGATTTGTAGATAACTAAATAAAGATATGATGTATATGCTTTTGTAATTTTCGCTGTAATCAAATTTGAATGTAGTATTTGATTGTCTGTGTAATTGACTTTTTGGAGTGCAAATATTGTGAGAGGGTTCTGTCTGAGTGGTAAAACCATATTCATGTACCCAGATGTCTTGACATGATTTTAATCGGTGATTAACAATAGTCTTCGGGTATCCTGTTTCTTGGTAAAAGGGGTTTTCTTTTACAGTGAGGAGGAGAGCACATTTAGAACTAGATTATCTAAAATTTATTCTTATATAAGAGATTATGTTGTGTAGCTTTGGAGCACCCTGATTGAAATTCAGTGCTAGAAATTGCTATTTTACTACTTAACCATCACTTGCTTATGGTTTCCACTTGACGCGAAGTCTCAGGTTCTACATAGCAGAGTTCCAAGTCCTATTGCTCTTGTTAAAGCATCTATTAGTATTATTATTAATAGTAGATTTCAATCATTTATGCAGATAAGTACACCTACTGTTACTTACTTTAGATACTCAGAGTGAGATGAGTCCTTTTCGACTCTAGTTACCTTGTTGAATACCTTGATTTCAGCAATAGATTATCTTTGTATAAACTGTTGAAAAACATATCCCTTTATCAGGAATATTTTTTTTAGAACCCTTCCCCAGGAGCTCCCACCTTTTTGCTCCATTGGCAACTCAAACCCAAAACCTTTGGGTTGGAGGTGGAGGGTGCTTACCATCTGTGCAACTCCTCATGTCATCATGATTATCTTCTTCTGATTTTATGTTCAGGACATTCCTACCTTTTGTTTTCTGTACCCACTTACAGTCTCTGGTTGTTTTTCAGTATGGTTCTCACTCCAAGAAGCGCCCTAACAATCTTGTTCTTGGACGAACCTATGATCACCACATTTATGATCTTGTAGAGGTAGGAGTGGAGGAGTTCAAAAGCATGAAGTCTTTCAAATATGATAAGAATTTGGCTCCTAAAATTGGGTCAAAACCCTTTTTCGCCTTTATGGGAGAAGGATTTGAGAGTGTTGAAGAGTTGAAACATTTGAAAGAAGTTTTGCTCGATCTATTCCATGGCGAGGTTTGTTCTTTTTCTCAATAACTTCTCTGCTTTGCTTCTTTGAATCCGAAAGAGTGCCATCAATGTTTGTGTGTTCAATAATGCAGGTTGTGACCAACTTGAACCTAGCTGGATTAGATCGTGTATATGTATGTGTAGCTGTGTCACCAAATAGGGTTTTCTTCACACATTGTGCATTACGTCTTAAAAAATCTGGCACAGTAGTTCCAAGAATAGAATTAGTGGAGGTTGGGCCATCCATGGACTTGGTAACTCGGAGACATCGTCTCCCTGATGACAGTTTAAGGAAAGAAGCCATGAAAACTTCTCTTGAAAAAGCAAAGAAGAAGGTTCGATTGGCTTAGTTACTTTTTCAAATCTTTTTCTTTTCTACTAACATGAGTTCTGAGATACTGATGTTACCTGCGGTCATTTTCAGGAGAAAAATGTTGTCAAAGATGCTATTCAAGGAAAACTTGGGAAGATTTACATTCCTGATCAGAAGGTAATAAGACATTACCTGGTTGAATTTTTTATATAAAAATTATGTCTCTGTTCACGAGTGAAAAATTGTTGTTTTCTGTAGGTTGGAAGTGTGGCACTGCCTCACAAAGCCAAAGGAGTTAAAAGGGAGCGTCGAGAAGCTAAGTTGAAACATGGAACAACAGAGGAGCTGCCCGAGGAAAAGAAGCAGAAGCTGGATTCTGAGTGATTTTTATTCGACCCTTCTGCAGTGTGATGCCTTAAGAGGGTTCTCTCCTTGCTGGATCAAATCAAATTTTGTTCTATCTGCCTTTGTATAAGATATAGGCACACAGCGTATTTGGCTCTAACCCTCACTAAACGGATGGTCACAGTAGGTTTCGGATCTACTACGTTCAAAGTAGTCTAATGCCGGGTGATTGTTGTCAAAAGATATCATCTGGGAGCTTTCTGACCTCAGAGCCATAGTTATCATTGTTGTTTCGTTTTTTCTTATGTTTGAATGAAGTCCATTTTATGAATTTTCCTCCATTTGGTATATTATGGAATGTATTTCTAGTTATTTGGAAACATCAGTACTATAAAAAATCTTATTTAGTTATTTTTAGTTCATGATTAACTTGAGAGGGTCTCTTCTGTAGCTTTATAGTTCAACCAGTCGAAGTCGGAAATTTGGAAATACTTAAGCTATATTTTCAAGTTTAAAAAAACTATGAAACGCTAGTGGTCCTGTCAAATTACTACATCAGAGCACAATTTAATGCCACACTAGAAAATGGGTGTTTGGTATGAAAGAAAATATTTTCCATGAAAAATATCATTGGCCTGTTGGTCTGAGGTTGGTTGAAAGATGATGTGATGCAACTCATGCAAGTATATGTTTTGAAAAAGTTTTGGTGTACTCTTTTTTAACTTATTTTCTTGTGTTAAGTATTTTGTAAAGTATTTGCATATCATTTAGACATGTATAAGTGGAGCAGGGGTGTGGGGTAGTGAGGGATTAGGGTGAATATGAAGTATGATGGAAGGCAGTGACACAATCAATGTGAAAAGTCCATAAAACTCATTTTCCTACTTTCACTAGAGAAGTCATTTTCCTCATTTTTAACGATCATTCGTCATTCTTTCCTCAACCAAGGAACTCTCTTTCCCAAGTTGCGTTTTCTTTTTATTTCTTCAAGGGAGAAGCAATTAAATACATATGAAACAAACGTACATGTCACCATAAAGCCCACACAATAACATGGTGTGATTTATGTGAACATTTCTATGACCCAAATTTCCATTATAATGCTTTTGCATACAGTTATACAACATGAATTCTGGGCAGAAATTACAAAAATTGAAATTGAACAAAATCAGTTGCTCAAACAATGGTTCAAAGAGGAAATGGACATGCCCAGCGCGAAGGATCTTCTGTGAGGCAGTGGCCACTGATTGAGCTTGCGAAGAAAACTTGGTTTTCTCCAAAGGCAATCTGAATTAATATGCACAGGTACATCATGCAGGCCTGAAAAACATACAATGTATCCATCAGACTTCACCAACATATACAGGGGAAGAAACTTGCTTAGAAGTATAGTCATAAAACATGTGCCGTTGAACTGCAAGAAAGCAAAGGGCTGCACCCATTTTATTGAAAATAAACTTCGATATCACTCGAGCTGAAGCTTGCTAGTGTATTATTGATGCCTATCTAGGTTCGTTAGGCTGGGCCTCTCACAGAATACTAGCTGCATGGCAGTCTAAAGTAATGCCTTCTCAATCCACAAACAGTTCAGATGCTCCAGGCTCCAGCAATTCCCAAAGCATCCACCAAAACCCAAGAAAGTGTCATCGAGAGAAGTTATTCCAAATATTCTACCAAATTATTCAACTACTGCTGGCACCAGTCACCTAGAGTTAACTTATCTAGAATTGAACTAAGATGTGACATACCAAGGGCAATAACTTTAAAATTCAGTATAACGAAGAAACAGTTTTGGAGATAAGACAAACCTGACATAATCCAAATGTTCTTCCTCCCAGAAACATGGCCTGTAATGAATGCAGAATATGTGCAGAAAGCATCTAGTTATCGCATGTATTCATGAGAGCAACTGCATGTCTGTGTGACCTGGTTGAGGTAGAGGAGATTTAATTTGAGGTCTCAGCATATCCATGATAGTGGAAAAGGAGGGGCGTTTCCACGGCTCACTGCAACATCATCAAAAGTAACTTTAAGATAACACATCAAAACAATCACGATACTAAATGGCGCAAACTTGGAACAAGTAAAATGAACACACTTAGCCCAGCAAGCTTCAATAATAATCGCCACTTGAGGATTCAAGTCACTTGGAATGTCAAGCCTCTTCCTGTTAAAACCGACAGCTGCTATAACCTACAAAGTCAAATTCATTACAGCACATTTCATGCCATTTACAATAATAAAAAAGAAAAGAAAAGGGAACAGTTCGATAATCATGAGACTTGACAGATGGTCCTCTATCTGATCTTTCAAAAATCAAACTTGTAGCAGAAGCTAGAATGTACAATATCAAAGAGAAACAGTTTTAATGATCATGAAGCATTGATATTGTATCGTCTCATTTGGTCTTCCATAAATCAAACTTATTTCTACATGAACATAGGAGTCTCTAACCCGATTAAGAGAACTTCTCACAAAATTGGACACAACATAAGTGTAAAAGCTAAGTTTAACAGTTAATCCAACTAGCTAATGTAGCCTATATGGATCTTTTTTATTCTATTGTGTTTATTCTTACATAAGCTTGTATTGATCTTTTGAGACAACTTTTCTTCGTGTGCTTGTGCCCTTTTATCGCCTTCAACCTGCATATTGCCGCACCTACAGACTGGTGCATATGGAGGTCTACAAGAACATGAGGGAACTGACTTCTTATATTGATATACTCTTTAAAGGTTTTTGATATTCATAATCCATTTGTTCTGTCTTTTAATTTTACAGCTCTTTACACACTTCTCTAATCGAGCTCCCCAAGTCCTAAGCCCCTAAAATGCACCAAAGACTTCTCTTTACTTTCATAATGCAACTTGTCATTTACTTCCCACAATATCTACATCAGCTTCCAACTCCCATTCACCTTCCTTCTATGGCCTCTAGTCCCATGGGATCTCTTCGACCAAGGTTATCCTACTATCTATATTCCCAAATTTTCGTTTTAGTTTTCTTGTCTAATTCTATTTGTAGTACATAGACACTCATGATGTTGAGTGCATACTTTTCCTACAATAAACTTAATGAGATAATCATATCGCTAATTTTCTTTTTCTTTTTTTGATAAAGATAATGTTGTATTCATCAGCATTAAGGATATGCTGGAGACCTCCAAAAATTGGTTTCCAACAAAAGAAAAAACAAAAAAGGCTAATAGATTACAAAGTGCCTATAAAATCCAAAATTTGTGCAGCTTCTTCTATCCCTTCCTCTTTACACCAAAAATAAAAAGTAGTCAAGCAGTTCCATTTGACTTTCTCTATTGAATTAGCTTTGTTATCATAGCATCTACTATTTCTTTCTTTCCAAATACACCACCAAATGCATGATGGTATTATACTCCACCACTTTTTCTTAGATTTTCTCCCCCCTCTGCTGATCCAGCAACTAAGTAGATCTGCTGTATGCTCAGGCATAATCCATTCTGTATGTGTTAGTCCCAAAAAAAGGTTCCACAATTGTGTTGTCACTTTGCAATGGAGGAACAAATGGTTGTTGGTTTCCTCAGTCTCATTACAGAGAGAGCACCAAGAAGCAATATAGAAACCCCTCCTTTTCAATTTCTCATGAGTGGAGCATGCTCTTCTGGCAACCAACCAGGAGAAACACTTTACCTTGGTTGGCACCTTGTTCCTCCAAATCTGCTTCCAAGGGCCAAGTTTACCGCCTGGATACTCATTCACCTCCTTAATATATAGCTTATTAACAGAAAGGCTTCCATCTCTAGAGTGTTTCCATATGATAGAATCTTTTTCTGCTGATAACCCATTAAAACCATTGAGAACATGTAATAGCTCAGCCACTCTCCCAATCTCCCAGTCATTTAAATGCCTTCTAAACACAATATTCCATCCATGAATAGACCATACCTCAGCCACTGTTTCTTCCAGATTGGTACACAAGGAAAATAGGTCAGGAAATAAGCCCATCAGTGCCTCATTTCCATTCCAATTCTCTTTACTTCTACAACTTCACTTTAAATCCTAATACTGCAATGAGTCCCACTTGCTTCCCAGTTTTATCCCACAATACCACAATTTATAACATATGTTGCCAATCTCTCTAGGTTTCCCCATCCACCTTTTTTTTTAACTGACAAGTATTACTGATGTCACTAGCACTAAGAAAGTGTTGTGATTACATCCAGAGAGAGAAAAAGAAAGGTGAACCCTGGCCATCTATACAAAATATCTATGAACTGTAACAGGGTTTCAGCATCCTCAACTACATCCATTTTACACCAGGAAGAGACCATAAAATACAATCAGATTAAACTTTCCAACTTGAGCTCTTTAGCCCCTAACATCTTCTATTCCTCTCCTTCCAGATACTCCACCACATGCTAGCAGAGCTGGATCTAGTTGCTTTCCCATCAAACAAGTCTATTCCAACTACCTATTTGAATCCTACTCTCTTGAATTAGCTTCTTCTTCCCCATCCTCTAACACGCGACAAGCTTTTTCTATCTAGCACCACATTCATGCGTCAATGTGGTCGGACTAATTTCTTTAGTCACACCTGTATATGGTGTGGGAAACCTTGCTTATTGCTCTCACTTTCTGTTTAATCAAAAATATTTGCTCTCACGGTCTCATTTAAGGGGGAGATGTGCTGAAACCCCTAGCTCATTTAACACATACCCCAGTGCTCATACAGCACGTGTCTGGATAAGCAGGCATTACAAATATAGTAGATGATTCATCATACTTGTACTACTTTTATGCTGGTCATCAACTTCACCGCAACTTCCATAGTTCTCTTCTTAAATATTATCTTGACAAACTGTATACATATATGTTGCACAAAATATGAACTATTAAAAGACTACACAAGAAGCAAAATAAAACCTACACAGAAATAGAAAGTAGCATCCCTGGAACTCTTCCATTCAATGGCTCATGAATGCCTAGCTTTCTACACTAGCTACATGAAGAAGAGAGGTACATGACGTAGAGCAAATTGAAAAGACTCTTCCTGGAATGGCTCATCCCAACTTGTGGTGCCCTAATTCCTGGCAGAACCATATGAGACCGACTCATTTTCACATCCCAAGAGATAGCTTTTGGTCCTTTTAGTTGATATATTAATTATTCACCTCTAGATTGCATTGTTTAAATCGTCATTTTTACCTAAAATACTCTTTAACATTAAAATACTTCAAACTAACAAATACAAACCTGTGGTGGGTTCAATTTATTCCATGGTTGTTGAAGTGTTGCCAGCTCCCACAAAATGACACCAAAGCTGTATACATCAGATTTCTCATTTGATGGTTCATCACGAATAACTTCAGGTGCCATCCATTCCGGCTGTCACAATAAGCACCAAATCATTTTTTTCCCCAATTCAATCATCAAGAAACAAGTCAAAGATCAACAGAACATAAAGGCACCAGAGTCGAATCAAGAATTTACAGTTCCGGCAGCAGTCTTCGATGAAAGGAATGTATTCGCTTTGAAACGAGAAAGACCAAAATCACAGATCTGATGAAGACATTAGACAAGAGAAAACATTTAGTGCCTTTTACTGAACAAAGAGAAAAATAGCTTCATATATTATTTTTAATATTCTGGCCAAACTCGAGAGTAAATTATTATGTTAACTTGCAACATTTCTCTCATCATTAAGCATCAATCGCAACTAAAAGTAGAGGTAATATTAGACATAGTCACACTACATTATAGATACTGCTGAGCTATAAAGGACAGAGCCTTCTTAAATCACGGACATTCCAAAATGCCTCCCCTCTTTCTCAAGCAAATTCTCAATCTCTCAAGAATTTTTTTTAAAAAAAATCTTTTTTCGGTTGGGTTTGAAAAGTCAAATTGAATGATCAAGAAATTATTATTTTTCCCTCAATGGTCCAAGTTGATTAAAAGGAAGAGGACCACACGTATTTCCAGAGTAAGAGGAGACACATCTACTCTAAATATTTCCTGTTAAGAAAGAAATTAATGCACCAAGAGGTTGAAAAAAGAGGAGAAGATATGTTATGGAAAAACATAAGAAGAAAATTTGAAAGACAAACTAAACCAGAAATAGATTCTTCCTTCTCATATTGACTACTAAATTTCTTGAAACATGCTGGATTCATGGCAGTTGAAAAAAGCACTCTATAGATGGCATATATCTAGAAGATCACAAAGAAAGATTATGGACCAAACTTTCTCCAAAATGTCAAATAAAGTATAATGATTTTTCCCTTTTTCACAGAATTTTCAAGATAATCCCCTCTCCTCGGAAAATAACTCATTTCATGGAATGCAAAGTTAACTTTCATCAGAGAAAGCTGATAAATACTTGCAGGTTCACCACTTGCTTTATGTTCTTCAGCAAGTTTGATTAGGTTAGAAAGATTCTGAAACTACAACTTCTATATGTTTCTCTTGACCCTTGGGAAAATGTCTGAGGAAGTTGGGATTGAAGATGCCTCTCAAATGAAAAAAAATGCCCTATCCAGGATGATGCTTCCTTCAGATTTGACTACTCTGACAACCAAGTCTGAGAATACATCAATCATGACAAAGAGGATTGAACCTTTATGCTTGCTAAAGAAGCTTACTCTCACCTTCACTGTATATTTTTTGTCCACTAGAAGATTTGGAGATTTTAAATCTCGGTGCACAATGGGAGGATTGCGTTTGTGAAGATAATTCATCCCATTTGCCTGCACGGGATCATATTAAGCAATCAGCCCCAGTTGAAAAAGTAAAATGAGAAAGAAGAGGAAAGTAGGACACATTTATCAATACCACATCGTAAGCCATACACAGCCGACGCCTTTCATCCAACACCTCTCTCGCACCAGGTTTATGAAGAAGTCTATATAAGCTACCTCTGAAATACATGATAACATGGCAACCAGTCAGCCAAATTGGGAAAAACATAGTGCTTTCTCTAATAACCTGAAGAGAGAAATAGGCTAAGACCTCGATAAATATTCTGTGACTATGGACAAATTTGGTGGCTGAATGACAGCACCCATAAAAAGTACAATATTTGGATGTCGCAACCGCTTCATAATTGCAACCTAGGACAACCAAAGAAATAACAGAATTAGAAGAGTGTAGAAGGAATACAAATAACAAAACTGATGTCCACAGATCCTCAATCTCTTTACATTCTGGTCCCTTTTTAGTTCTTCCTGATTGCTAGTCGGAAGTTGGGGGAGAAAGTACAGACTTACCTCCCTCAAAAATTCCTTGAATCTCTCTGCATGAAAATCTTGTTCCATGAGAATCTTCACGGCAACATCCTAAATGATACAAACTTCCATGAGATGCAATCAGGAAGGAATAAGACCAACGTAATATAGCAGGCTTCACATGGTTGTATCTCCACTAGACATAAAATAGACTACCCCTCCTCCCCAACATAAAAAAAGCAAAAATCTGAAAGAGGATAAAAAAAAAAACAAAGCCAGTAAAAAATATTTGAGAGGGAGCTTCAGAGCTAACTCGTTTAAACTACCATAAAAATATGGTTCCCCCACACCCCCCCCCCCCCCCCAC